AATGCATTTTAAAAATTTTTATTTTGATGTATGTATGTATTTGTGAGTTTATATGCATCCTGTGCATGCAGGCGCCCATAGAGCCTAGGAAAGAGTATCAGGTCCCCTGGAAACTGGACTTACCTGATTGTGAACTACTCCATGGGTGCTGGGGTCCTCTGTAGGAATAGCTAATGCCTCTTACCTGCTGAGCCATCTCCAGCCTCTGGTGTCTGTGGCTTGTTTATTATTTCTTCATATGTCAGAGTTTCGCCTAAAACAAGCCCTTCAGAAACTCTTCTAAGTTTTCACAGGAGATAACCCCACTTTGTATGTTATTGTCCCTGAATACCTCCAGTGGAACCAGATACAGAGTTAGAAGACAATGCTCTTCTTGGTGATCCTAGTTTTGTGTTAGCCTAGACTAATGTGTGTTTGAATCTGAGCTTTTAGCAAAAAGTTTTAAGAGAAACATGAACTTACAGAATAGAATAAATACAGAAAGGAAGAAAGTAATTTTGTATAGTTGTACAAACAGGTTTGTGTTTTAAGCAGAGTATTATTATATGAGACAATTTAAAAGATACCAGGTGTGGTGGTACACGCCTTTAATCTCAACATTTGGGAGCCTGAGACAGGCAGATCCATTTACTTTCCGGCCAGCCTGATCTTCATAGTAATTGCTAGACCCCTCATCAAAGCAAGTGAAAAGATAGCTTGATAAATAATCTAACAGTTATTATCACAGAACAAAATACCATAAATTGAGTATAGCCCAATTATGCTGTATTTATGAAGTCTGTGGTGTGCAGTGATATTCCTGCCCATCAAACTCATTCTGTATGCTCCTTTCTCAGTAGGTGGTTATTTAAAGCTTGCATAGATGAATATTCTGCCTGTATGTCTGTGTACACATGTGCCCGATGTCCAAGGAGGTCAGAAGAGGGTGTCAGATCCCCTGGGATTGGAGTTAAGGTTGTAAGCCCTTGTGGGTACTGGAACTTAAACCCAAGTCCTTTGGAAAAGCAGCCGTCTCTCCAATCCTCCATTTTATCTTTTGTACTGTGCGTTTGCTGTTTCTGCTGTGTGTTTAAATTTGAAGATACTTATGATTATGTTATTGAGGCCTGCAATTTTAGCACAGTAGTGTGCTCAGCAGGCAGCCTGAGGGCAGTGACACATACAGTGCACCTAGGTGTGGCAAGCGGCACGCTCTCGGGTTGTGGTGATCTCACAGTGCTGCTGTCATTCTGCCATGCCTTTCTCAGGATATGCTCCCACGCCGAGCTGGTGTATGACTGCATATTGATCATTAAGGAAATTAGAGCCATCATGACGTATCATCTCATACTTGTTAGAATAGCTGTTACCACAAAGACAAGACATATGGGTAAGAATGTGGAGCAAAGGGAGCCTTTCTTTACTGTTGGGAAGAGTATAATTAGTAAAAACCACTGTGGAAAACAGTATGGAGATTCCTCAAAAAGCTAAAACTTGAACTTTTCTTTTTTTTAAGACAAGGTCTCTCTGTGTCCAGGCTGGCTCTAACTCACAGTCCTCTGTCTCAGCCTTCTGAGTGCTTGGGACTGTATGCATGTGCAAACAACAACACTTGACTACAGAAAAACCTTTTATCCATCCAGAAATCCCATTTCTGTATTATTTCTTCTGCTATTCTTATCTAAAGAAATATGAAGCCAGTGCATTAGAGGCCTTTTGTATTCCTATGTTTACTGTGGCTCTCCACCCTCCCAGGGGAGGGATGGAATTAGCCTAGGTATCCATCAGTGGGTGACTAGATAGAATGTGATCTGTTGCCGTGGAATACTGCTCAGTCTCTTTTTTTTTTAAATATTTATTTATTATGTATACAATATTCTGTCTGTGTGTATGTCTGCAGGCCAGAAGAGAGCACAAGACCTCATTTCATATGGTTGTGAGCCACCATGTGGTTGCTGGGAATTGAACTCAGGACCTTTGGAAGAGCAGGCAATGCTCTTAACCTCTGAGCCATCTCTCCAGCCCCCACTGCTCAGTCTTAATAAGATTGGAAAGTCTTCCACTTGGCAACTGTAGATGAACCTGGGGACATCGTGCTAACAGAAATAAACTCAACACAGAAAATCAAATACTACACCATCTCCTTTGTATGTAGAATCTGGAAAGGTCAAACTCAGTAAAAAGCAGAATGAAGGGACAAGGATAGGGAGGGCTGAGGTAGGCTGAGGGTTGGGGTGCAGAATGAAGGGACCAGGACAGGGAGGGCTGAGGTAGGTTAAGGGTTGGGGTGCTGGTCAGATGATGCAGACTTCAGTTAAGCAGAATGGGGTGTGATCTGTGATCCTGGCATTCAAGGTAGAGGTGGGGGTGGATTTTTTAAGTCAGGCAAGTGTGGGCTACATGGCAAGAGGCAACGTAGAGCTGAGTAGGGAATAAATCAGAGAGGTGTTGGCTAGTTAATAACAGTGCGCTGAGAAGGATTTTAAATGTTCTCACCACAAAAATATGAGCTAACACATGTGCTAACATATTACCTTGTACACATGTATTTCAAAACATGTTTTGTACTATAAATGTTTATACTTTGATTTGTCAGCTAAGCAAATAAAAGTAAATGATATTTAAAGGAAATTGATTTTACCTAAAGTAGGCATATTTAAAGTTTTCATTTCGTAAAATATTTTGTTCTGTCGTAACTACTGTATACATCTATACCAGTAATTTTGCTTTTCTGGATTTTTGACTTCCTTGTAACAAGCCTAGGAGCAATAGCCTCGTGTGGAATGGGCCACCTAGGGCTATTCACGTTCATTTTACTCTTCTTCCTCATGCCTACTAACTGTGTCTTTGGGCCTTTTAATTATATTGTAGCTCATTACTTAACCTTCTGATTCTAAATTTACCTATAAAGAGAAGATAGTGATTCCTAGCATCCAGATGCTGTTTTGTGGATTAAGATGTGGTTGATGATGGTCAATTATAATATCTTTAGATAGATTAATGACTTTAGATATATTATTTTCTTACAGTATCAATCAGTTTTATGATAACAGGGAGATGGGTCTTCTATACTTAGTAGTATAATATATTGTATTCCCACTGATTATCAATTTCCTTGAATTCTAGAAGATTGGTACTAGGTCTTATATATTTGTTTGCGTTTGCATCATTTTGTCTACTTAGAATGATTAACATCATCTTGAGTCTCAGTTTTGCTATTTTTCTGTAAATAAGCATCTGTATTTATTTTATATAATAATCAGATTAATAATTTGGGGCTGTAATAAAATGTTCAATGAATTATTTATACAAATGATGTTTTTAGCAGGTATCAACTGTTTCAAACATGATTAAATCTTTGTGGTTTTCACTTGCTATGCTATCTTGTAAGTCTAAACTACAAAACAGTTCCTTAGAGAGAACATCTTATTTTATTTGTTGTTGTTTGAGACATTGTTGCTGTGTAGTCCAGGCTGGCCTGGATGTCAACTTCCCAAGTGCTGGGATTACTCACACTTGGCTTTCTTGTCACAGTGATAGCTGGAGTGTCTTTCATGGTTTTGATAAAGGAGATGTCAGGATTAGTAAATCCATTGTGTTGTTGTTCTCTCCATGGTTTTCAGAAAAAGTGCAAAATTCACTAACAAGTGTAAAGAGGACTTGAGTATAAACTACATTTGTGTGGTCTGAATTAAGTTTGGGTCTCCTTGTGTAGCCCTGACTGCCCTGAAACTTCCTGTATAGGCTAGGCTGATCTCATGTTCACAAAGCTTAGCCTGCTTTTACCTCATGAGTGCAGAATTAGAATCTTAAACTGTTTCTCTTTGTTTACTAGAAGGTTCTTGTGTAAGATGACACAATCCTCTTCCAAGAAATTCATTTTGGGGCTGGAGAGATGCCTCTGTGGTTCAGAGCACTGGCTGCTCTTCCAGAGGACCAAGGTTTGAGGCCCAGCTGTTTGTCAGCCCAGTCTGGTGGTTTCCATACTTACCAGGAATAAATACAGTGCACAGACATATACATGCAGGCAAAACACCTATACACGTAAAATACATAAAAGGTTTTAAAAATTAAAGTAAGTCCCACCCACTGTGGTGTCTGGCAAACACCTTTAATTCCAGCTCTAGGGAGGCAGAGACAGATGGTTCTCAGTGAGTTCGAGGCCAGCCTCATCTATAGTGCTAATCCCAGAACAACTAGGGCAACACAAAGAAACTCTTGTCTCAAAAAACCGAAAAGAAAAAGAAAGGAAAAATTAACAGAATTTTCTACCCATAATAATGGATATTTAAACAAAATTCATTTTCTCAAAAGTACAATTTTATTTCAAAGCAATTATTCATAAAACAAGAATTATGGAAAACATTGTTTAAGTTTCCTCACTGGAATATTCTAGGATTTCCATTGATAAATAATAGAACACTGTGAAGAATATTTTCATATATAAATTTGATGCCACTTGGTCTTTAAAACTTTTTCTTAGATTAATTTAATGTATACTAGTGCCTTGTTTACATGCATGTATGTGCACCATGCGTATGTCTGATGCCTGTGGTAAGCAGAGTCAGTGTTTGTTTGATACCTATAAAAACGGCATCCATGGTATGTCCATTTTGGAAGGTTTTGAAAAATAGCTAAGAAATAATAAGTATTAAACTCTGAAATAGCAGTAATGTCATTGTTTACATCTAATTTTTTTATTCTCATTAAATTGATGTGTAGTGATATTTCATTTGTATTTTAATAAATAACGCTTGCCTGAAGACCAGAATGCAGAACAGCCACACTAGTCAGCCAAGGCCTGTCGGTGGTAGTGCACGCCTTCAATCCCAGCACTAGAGAGGAATATAAGGTGGGATGAGACTCTTTCAGTCTGAAAATTTCATAGAAGAGCTCTCTAGGGGCTTGGCTGCTTTGCTTTTCTGATCTTCAGACAGAAGACCTAATATCTGTCTCTGGGTTTTTGTTATTCATGCTACCTTGGTGTCCATGAATTCTCAGATATCTTCTGCTTGTTGCAGTGTTTGATGACGGGGATGAGAGAACGCTCCGGCGCACCTCACTTTGCCTGAAAGGGGAGAGGCACTTTGCTGAGAGTGAGGTAGGTGGTAGGGCTTGGTGTGGGAACTGCAGTGACTGAGGGGGAAGTGAGGTATGAATTGAACTCCTTTGTCTCTTCTGCAGACGCTTGACCAGCTTCCTTTAACGAACCCAGAGCACTTTGGAACACCAGTCATTGCAAAGAAGGCAAACAGAGGGAGGAGGTCATCACTTCCTATGTGAGTTTTTTCATATTTGCTTAATAATCGATGGTGTTCACGCCCTCCCCAGCTGACTTTACCAGAATGTCTGCCTTCTGCTGGGTATCATTTTCATAGAAGGTTGTAAGGGGGACCTTTTGCCCTCAGCCCTCAGCAGACGTTCTTAATTACTCCCTTTACTTTGCCTAGACGTTATCAGTACTCCATTTCCAAAAGATGATTTCAGTTTGCTTTGACGTCATTATTAATTGGTATGATTTGCCTTTACTGAGTAATTATTTGTAGTTTATCTTTTTATTTAACAACAATTTTGAACTTAAAAATAATAATAAAAAGGACTTCCGTGTGTCCTTTGTCTAGTTATGCAGTTTTTAATAGTTCTGACCTGTTGCTTTACCTTTCCATCTCTTCATTATACATATTATAATTAGTTTTCAGTTTTATAATTTTTTTCATGGCCCTGACTGTCCTGGCACTTACTCTGTATACCAGGCTGGCTTTGAACTCACAAAAATCCTCCTGCCTCTGGCTCTCAAATGCTGGGTTAAGGGCACGTGCCACCACCGCCCAGCCAGTCTTAGAATTTTATTTTCTTGAGCAATGTGAAAGGAGGCAGAGAACATGACAGTCCTTTGCCTTTGAGTAAAATATTAATATCATATTCAGAAAATTCAATTTCACGTATGTGAAATGTTTTAACTCACAGCCAAATTCAGTATTATCTTGCCTCCTGGTCTAAAGTACTGAGTCTACAGGCCTGCAATACTGGCTGACAAAGTTTACCTGGTAGAAATTTTTACCTCCTGCTGTTAGCATTTCATGGTCCAAACCAAGTCGTATTCATGAGCTGCATTTCCTTGATTTGGTTTGTGAACTCCCTTTAATCCGGAAACATTCGTTATATTTTTGTTTGTTTGGTTTTCATGATGCTGCCATTTAAGAGTACAGGCAAGTTGTTTTGTAGACTGGTCTTCAATGCAGATTTTCAGGTGCTTTTATTTATAGATTAAGATTATACATTTTTGACAGTAAGTGATATATGTCCTTCTGAATGTAAATACATCCTAGATACATACTATCAGTTTGTCCTTTAGTTGGTGGCATTAATTTTGACTACCTAGAATGTGGTTCCTGCCTAATTTCTGACCTTAGAGATCTTTAGTTACCTTTTCTCCCTGGATAATTAAATCATCTGGGTGGAGCTACTTTGCCAGTAGATATGCTGTTCTTTCTCAAGATACCCTTCCATCATTGGTGTTAGCACCCATTAGGCTCCTTTGGCATATCAGTACTGTTATAATAACAAAATGGTGATTTTTGTTATTATATTTTTCAATTTTTCAATCCTGCTTCACTTTTTAGTTAAATTTATTTATCATTTTCCTGGACCAGCAGGGTGGCTCAGGGGTGATAGTCAGTTACCAGCCCTGACTATCTGAGTTTGATCCCAGAATTTCATACGATGGAAGAAGAGAACCAACTCATGCAAGGTGTCCTTTGACCTTCATGTAGATGCTATGGCTTGCACACACACACACACACACACACACACACACACACACACTGAATGATTAAAGGTAAAAATAAAAATTTTTAAAGAAAATCTTCCTTATCATCAGTATATATTTATGGATTGTAATTTTACTTAATGGGTTATAATTCATTGTTTAAAATTTTTTATTTCGATGCACAAGTTATTCCACATTCAGCCAGTAGGCCCCTCTCCAGACTGGTGTCTGTGTGCTTTTGATATATTTCTCCATTTCTTGACCACATGGCCACTTCCTAATACTACACAGTGTTAAACGTTCATGATCTTTTTTCCCAGCATCAAACCTTGATATTGGACATTTCTCGGGGGACCTTTGTTCCTTTTGCTGGGATATAAATATTTAGAAACCAGAATTCAGATATTGGTTGTATGCATATATAACAAAGATGTTAAAAAGGCAAAATCAAACATACAAGTGGCAAACGAAAAAGTAACAAAAGACCTTTGAGGTCCCTAAATGGAAATCTCAGTTTAGCCACTTAGTAGCTATGTCTCTTTATTACAGTAACTATGTTTACATTATTTAGTTCTATTCCTCACACACACAAATAAATCCTACAAGATCCTATGACTGAGGACAATGAGATTCAATAATATCTTGCCAGTTTGGGAGAAATGATATAGTGTTATGCATTTTTTAGTTTGTAGCAAGTGCTCAGTGTATGATACTGATTTAACAAATCATTAATGCTTTGCGGTATTTTTATTCCTCAGATAGTACTGTAGTCTTTAATAATTATAATTTTTAATCAGTTGAGTAAGCTGATATTTTAGTGTAGGACACTCAAGAGCAAGTCGAGGCATCAAGTAAAGATGGGAAGTAGAGAGGCATGTGGTTATCCTGGGCAGCGGATCAGTGGGGGAGATAGCAGAGCAGGTGCCTCCAGGGCTGGAGTACTTAGTAGACTATATAGCAGAGTGGATGGCAGATGTCAGTGTATACTCATTAAGGTTTGAAATGAGAGTGTGTACTCAGTTTTCTTTAAAAAGTATAGACTTCCGATTGATGCGTATTATGGACACTTAAGAGTAAACAGTTATCCCAGATAAATTATCCGACTAAATCCCACATTTGGTTTTTCTGGGCTATTTTCATAACCTACTAGAAAATTAAACTTACATTATTTAGCCTCTGGCATTACAAAACCGGGGGAAAAAAACTCTGTTCATACAAAGTACATTTGATAATCAGGGAGTTAGTGGCTCACACCTTTAATTTCAGCACTTGGGAGGCAGAGCTAGGTAGATCTCCGAGTTCAAGGCCAGCCCAATCTACAGAGCAAATTCTAGAACAGCCAGGGATGGATACACAGAGACAAACCCTGTGTTGAAAAAAACAGAAAACAGAAACAAAAAGTGCATTGGTAATATAATAGAGTTCTCTGTCCAGGCATAGGACCCTGAGTCCAGGGTTCACTGGCCCCATAAAGTGCACTCAGGAGTTACTAAGGTGGCTCCATGACGTGCGTGAGGCCAGAGTGTCATCTTCTCAAGCCCGGTAGGAATGGAGGGGCAGCCTTGGGAGCCAGGCCGGACATGTAGCGGTCATAGCACTCTGATTGGACCAATCATGGCCCATGCTGTCGTAACCATCAGGTTGTTCTGGCTCTTAGCACTGAAGACGAAAAGGAAGAAGAAAGCAGTGAGGAGGAGGATGAGGATGAGCGGCGTCTCAGTGATGGTTTACTGGGAAAGGTGGTGCGCGTGGCCACTGCAGCGGAGAGGCCTGAGTGGTACCCTGCTTTGGTAAGTGAAGTGTCATCGCAAAGTCAGTATTTCTTGTTGAAAATGAATTTGACAAGCTGTTTTGGAATCTATTGGAAATATTACTAATTTAATGAAGATGTTATTGTGTGTTTAAAAATTAAAAGTCAGGTCTATAGAAACTGGCCATTGTCTTTAATTATCCATTCTCTGTTATCATTTATTGACATCTTTCAGGGTTTCTTTCCTCAATGTCCCATTACTTTTTTACAACTTCAGTGCTTTTAGGTTGATCCCTTAATTCTTTTTGTTGTTTCATTTGTCTCACTCTGTAGTTTAAGCTGGCCAGGAGCTCACTGTGTAGCCCAGGCTGGCCTCGAACACAGCAGTCCTCCTGTTGCAGTCTCTTAAACTGTAGGATTATGGTGGTATGTCTCTCACCGAGAGTCCTCTGTGACTGACTGTTCGCGAGAGTAGGGGAGAATAGAAAGCAAGTATAGTTGATCTTTGAGGCAGAAGGGTCATCTGAATATAGGGGATAATTCTGCATATAGCTTTGGAAAAGAATACCATTTGCACTGCACATTTGGGAATGTTCATAAGACAGTTTGTTTGCTCCATTGTTAGAAAGACTGGAAGTGACAGAAATCAATATGGAGGCCATTAGTTCACAGGTGATGTAATGCACCAGATTCCCATTGCAGCTCCTGCATTCATGCCTGCCAACTGCGTTGCTCACACCTGCAGTCTGTGCCCTGAGTGAAGATGGGGTGACATAGGGGGTCAGTCAGCCTGGCTAGGTGGTAAATCGGAGGTCAACCTATGCTACAGGAACCCTAGCTAAGAAAAATAAAGAACAGTCCACATATCCATAAATGCTATTGTTTTGGATACAAAGTCAAGTCTTGGGCTGGCGAGATCCTTCCACAGGTAAAGGTGCTGCTCATGCCAAGCCTCGATCCCAGGACCCACATTGGGGAAGGGAAATAGGATGACAAGCACTGACCCTCACGAGTGCTGCATATATGTGTGCCCTCCCACACAAATACGTAAGTGTAATCGTTTTTATTTAGGTTAGAATTTTTAAAGCAATAGTATTTTAATTTATATTTCATTATTTATTTTATATTACCTAATGACTATGTTAAGTATCGAGGAAGCCAATATGTTAAAAATAATAATACTTCTTTAATTTGTTAATAATGAAATCTATTAGCAATTAAGCTATTTCGTGTGAAATATAATTCACTTGAGACATTAGCAGATCCAGAATTTTTTAACTTTTAATTTTTAAATTCTGTCTCTTTGTGTTTGGGGTGTTTTGCCTGCATGTATGTCTGTGTACCACAGGGTGGTTGGCACCTGTGGAGGCCAGAAGAGGCTGTCAGAGTTCCTAGAATTCAAGTCACAGACAATTGAGGGCCGTGTGTGGGCATTTGAGTCATCTGGGTCCTCTCATCTGCTGAGCGGTCTCTCCAGTCCTCCTGCCCCTTAAGTTATTTTTAAAATTACATTCTTAGACCTGGTGAGATGGCTCAATAGGTAAAGATGCTTGCCACTAACTCTGACAGCCTGCGTTGAATCCCTTGAAGACCCACATGGTGAAAGAGAGAACCATGTCTTTTTTCATATATACTTTATTGTTTTTAATTGAGCTATTCATTTTTCCTCACTTCCCTTCTTTCCTCCCCTCTCCCCTTCCACCCTCCTTCCTGCCCCCCACGCTCCTGATTTACTAAGGAGATCTTGTCTTTTTCTCCTTCCTGGGCGGATCCATGTAGTCTCTCTTAGGTCTTCTTTGTTGTCTAGGTTCTCTGGGGTTGTGGACTATAGGCTGGTTATTCTTTGCTTTATGTCTAAAAGCCACTTATGAGTGAGTACGTATGATATTTGTCTTTCTGGGTCTGGGTTACCTCCCTCAGATTCTTTTTTCTAGTTCCGTTGATTTGCCTGCAAATTTCAAGACGTCATTATTTTTTAGTGCTGAGTAGTACTTCACTGTGTAAATGTAACATATTTTCCTTACCCATTCTTCAGTTAGGGGACATCTAGATTGTCTCCAGGTTCTGGCTACTGCAAATGTCCTTGTGGTATGAGTTCATCCTTTGGGTAAATGCCCAAGAGTGGTATTACTGGGTCTTGAGGTAGGCTGATTCCTAATTTTCTGAGAAATCGCCATGCTGATTTTCAAGAGAACCACGTCTTACAAGTTGTCCTTTTACCTATATGAGTGCCATGGCATACTTGAACTCTTCCCCACCCTGCATACAAACAAATAGGCATAATAAAAAACTTAAACAGATCCTTGGCTAGGGCTATAACTCAGTGGTTGAGTGCTTCCCCAGCATACAAAAGGCCTTGGGTTTAATACTTAGAAGTGTGAAAAATATTTTTTTAGTTAGCAAGCAAGCAAACAAATATATATATATATATATTTCTTTTCTGAGCAAGAGGAGTCAGTAGATTCTGAATTTTTATTCCAGGTCATCTCTCCCAGCTGCAATGATGATGTTACAGTGAAAAAGGACCAGTGTTTAGTTCGATCATTTATTGATTCTAAATTGTGAGTAATGAAACACCTGGTAGTGATTCATGGGGATGGGATAGAGTGATGGGTACCCACCATAAAGATGGGGTTGAGAAGTTGTTATTTACTGTGTTAAAAGTTAGGGTGCTTTTAGCTGATAAACATTATATAAAAATTCAACAATATGTGCGAACAGTATTAAAGACATTTATTTGTAAATAAAGTGTATATAGTTTTTTAATTGAAAAATTCTGGATTTTTATCATGTGTTATTTCGTATTATGAATTATGAAACCTAACAGACTTTACTAGTAGAATAATTACTTTCACTTTTTATTGTGAAAAACAGATTTTTAGAAACTTTCTACTAATTTCATGTTTTTTTCAAAGAGAACAGTAAAATTAAGTATATATATTTGTTATTCTCTTAGAAAAATATACCATAATATTTATAACAGTCATAAAATATTTTAACAAATTAACAAAAATTAGGAAATATTAAGCAAAATATGTGTTGTCTATAAGTATTGAAATGACTTTGTTAGTAGAAACTTGTCTATAGGAAGGTTGCATAATTGGAAACATTGAATTTGAGATTCTCAAATAAGAGTACTTTATAAGTACATAAAATTTAAAAATACTAGCTTTGTCTGTATTACCTTTAATACTTTCTTAAGGATCGGGTTATTCATGGCCTGCAACTTCTAAAACAGTATAGGACAAAATAATTTTGATTTTTGAGGTCTAATGGATGTGTTAATGTGGACTGTTTAAAATGATTTTTGTTTGTTTTTTATTTAATAAGTAGTTCTCCCCATTTTGTTCTTTTTCATAGTTACTCCATAGCAAGAAAGGACATTAAGGAACTAGACATTCTCAGTCTGCCAGAATCTGAGCTCTGTGCTAAACCAGGTAAAAGAAAGCTGAATCAGTATGTCAGTTTATTATTTCATGGCGTGACTGTGTCTGGAAAATAACAAATGGAACAATACTGACCAGTCTCATTACGATAGTAACTGTTTGGAATCCTGTATCCAGCCTGTAGTCTATAGGCTACATGTGGCCTGTAAAACATAATGAGTTGTTTTGCTTTTCCTTTCCCTTGTTGCTTGGTTGCGTGGTTCCTGAGTATGAACCTTACAGATAATGTGTTGAACAAACTCTTAAAGGCATTTTTATTATGTTTCCATGAAATACTTGGTTTGTAAATTTTACATATTTAACTTTGCATGTTTGGTCATTAATATTTCTTCCTCCTCCTCCTCCTCCTTGTTTTTGTTTTTGAGTCATGATTTTTCTGTGTAGCCTTGGCTGTCCTAGAACTCACTCTGTTCTAGGCTCTGTTCAGGCTGGCCTTGAACTCACAGAGAGCCACCTGATTCTGCTTCCCAAGTACTGGAATTCAAGATGTGTGTCACCACTGCCTGGCAATATTTTTTCTTTTTGAAGGGTACAGGAAAGGTGTCTCTCTACATAGCTCTAATTGTCCTGGAACTCACTATTTAGACCAGAGGCCTTGAACTCACTGAGATCCACCTGCCTCTGCCTCCTGAGGGCTGGGATTAGAGTCATGGGCTTTCACACCTGCTGACCATTAGTATCTAATAGTGGGGCTGGAGGGATGGCGAGGCGGTTAAGAGCACTTACTGCTCTTGCAGAGGACCCAGGTTTGGTTCCCATCACCCACACGGCAGTTCACGACCATCTGTAATCAGTTCCAGGGGATTTAATGCTTCTGGTGAACTCAAGTGTGCACATAAATCTGGTAGATCGCTTGTGCACATAAAATAAATATAAATCTTTTTTTCTAAAAGGCAACTTCTAATCTGCCAGACGTGGTTTCACTTGGGAGGTGGAGGCCTGCGGATCACAGGTTCAAAGCTAGATTGGGCTATGTGACATAGTGAGATCCAGTCTCACAGTAAACTTTGTTTGTAAAATCTACATGCTCTTCTACTTATGAAGTACTCAGATGTCCTGATCACTTTATGAATGATGACTGGATTGGGACTTAGCTCTCTGACCCGGAAAGCCATGCATCTCCCTTAATCCCCTGCTCTTCGTTCAGTGACAACAGCTGGAGTCCATGTTTTCTTTCAGGGCTGCGGAGAGCAAGTATCTTCTTAAAAGCTAGAATTGTTCCTGATAATTGGAAAATGGACATAAGTGAGATTCTTGAGTCATCCAGCAGTGATGATGAGGAAGACTGCCCAGCTGAGGAGAATGAAGAGGAGAAGGAAAAAGAAGCCAAAAAGGAGGAAGAAGAACCGGTAGGTCCAATTCCAGACAACATGGAAACCTTGTTTGTTTGTTTTTGTTTTTGTTTTCTAGTGAAAGTAATATCTCCATGTGTTTGTTCTCGTCTACATATATATATATATGTATGTATGTATATATATTGTCTGAAATGTTTCTTTCTTAATTTGATTGAGGAGGTGTGACTGTTTGGTTCATTGTGTAGTGTAGAACTCAGTACCAGTTTTCAGTGTGAAGTTATCAGAAAGTACTTTGCCGAGATAATCAACAAGATTTTGTGGGGGAGGGGATTCGATGTTTCTGTGTGTTCTCTTACTGTCAGTGTGTGGAGTAATTGTCATCCTGCTTTCAGAGGGTGCCATTAGAGTCAGAAAGTTATTGTCCTCAGCTGGCACAGCTAAACTGTGGCACTGAGGGATTTGAACACAGGTCTGGTTTTTCCTAACTTGGAAACCTTCTAGGGGTAAATATCTTAATTCCTCCCAAAGAAAGATTCATCTGGCATCTTGACAAATCACAGAAAAGATTGAGATTATATTTTCTTTGTGATATTACAGTGTTCCCAGTGGTTATAGGAATCATCTGTGGAGTTGCCATGGCTGCTCACGTGGTGTTTGTCTGTTTATTCATCAGTGTTCTGTTAAGTGGGGTAAATTTTCTAGTGTGATTTTGGTTGTTGAGAGGCAAAACAAAGAGCATGAGTGTGTTGAAAAGGAAGACCTGTTTGAGCATGAAAATGTCAGCCTGAAACTGTAGCCTGCTTTTGTGTTTAAGTCCACAAATGTGAGCGTCTGGAATGTCCGGACTAGATTCGCGTGTGAGGAAGGGTGCACGCTAGTTCTTTCCTTTGACCTCCCCTGCAGCATTTGGCTTTTTACACTCTGAAATCAGAATGGCGGTTCATACTTCCAGGCTGCCTACAGAGTTGCCATAGTAACGTGCTGTTGGTTTTAAGTGAGCATGCTCAGAAAGACAGGAAGGTTTAGCAGAGGCTTGGCAGGTTGCCAATGGAGGTTTGCCAGCCGCTTTGAAATGGGCTGTCTTTCTTTTCCTTTCATGTAATGTCTGATTTCTGTGTGGAAGAGAATGTAAGTAGTTGCTGTATAACCCGCGGATGCTGTGCCCTAAGAGGGGCAGCAGGTATTTGCCAATCAGACTGGCATGGCCAGACCCTGCACTGACTAAGTAGAAGGGGAAGCTAACCATTTTGCATTTGAAAGGAAATGCAGCACATAGGTAAGATTTTTTTTTAAAAAAAATGTTTAGTTATTGTTTTGATTGCCAAAAATGGAATTAAGTAAAATTTTTAAGTGTTGATTATATGACTGATATGTAGAGCTTATAGCCAAGCGTAATTGTTTCTTATAAAAAAGACAGGAATCTATTTTTAGAGGATTAAAGGGTAAAAGGAATTTTTCTCAAACATAAGACAGCGTTTTGAATGACAGTGATGAGACACTGTGGTAAAATTCAGGAGTTAATAATTGAATATTAGATGTGATATCTGTATTTTATCTGTATTTAGTTTTAGGTTGTGTGTTTCAGGGTAAATAGGCCACAGTTTCAGGGTGTGAACTGTTAACATTCTGTGGTTTAGGCTCTGGATTTTTATTTAACATCAATTAGGATCTTAGATTGCGAAATGCTGAAAAAGGGTTAGTCCCTTTATTTTTGCTAATACTTTTAATTGGCGTCCTTTCCAGAAGGCATTTTACCTACCCCTCAAAAAAATACCCTGAAATTTTAAACAAAGAGGCTAAGAAGAGCTTTGAGAGAAGTTGCAGAGGCGCCTATAAAATAGTAACTAGTGCTCGTGTATAGTGATTAATTTCAGGATAATGTTTCATTCAAGCTGTGAGGGATAAATATTAGTAAAACTGAGTAGAGCAGAAGCTATTGCAGGTAATAGTAAAGAAAAATTAAAAGATAAGGACACTTAGAAAATGATATCTTTTTACAATATGTTTCTTGTGAACTTGCTAAAATTTAGTGAGCATGGTTGCTTTATTCCTACTAAAAAAATAACAGCAAAAATCACAAAATGTAGGCTTGAGTTATAGTTTATTTTAAATTATTTTTCAGATGCTCATTTTTCATAGCATTTGCTTTATTGATATGTACTTGTTGTGAACTAGTTTTCTGGCTACCTTAGTGGGTTTTCTTGAGGAAGATTTAGGTTGTTTTAGGGAAAAATATCAGCTGCATTTTCCTTGCTCTTGGATTTGAGATTTAGTTGCTGAATCATTCTAACTTGTCTTGAAGAACAATTTTAAAACATTTAATATGCTGATCAACCAAGAAATGCTTTAAACTATACATAGCAAAGGGAGGAACAGGAGTATGGTACATGGTGACTAGTCCGGTAAGCCAGGGCCTACCTGGCTTAGTCATTATGGGCCTTTCCAACACCAGTGAGGCTAAGTTCTTGTATTCCATTACAGATCATAATTCCTCCTAAGATGTATTGATAGTGTACTTCTTAGGACGACTGAATGCTGCTTTCCAAGAGTCTTAAAGACCCCTTGTACCATTCTGTGAGCCATTAAACAGCATTGTATATTGTCATCAGTGCAGGCTAGCAGGCAGGCGTATGCAGCAGATCACACAAGTGTTAGCTGGTTCTGCAGTGCGAATGAGCAGTAGCCTGTCTAGCCTTCGTGCTCCGGGTATTTAAACACAGTGGGAGCAGGGAGATTTGAGATTCTACAGCTTTATCGTGGAGCAGTAGCTTTTTTATTTAATATTTGATTTCCTACTCAGGTGCTACTCAGGACTGAAGTGTAAGCAGTATGTCTCATACTGTGCTTGGGGAGAGGATCTGATGGGGGGTAGTTCCTGTCTGTATTTTTAACTGCAACACATAGATAATTATTTTGGGAAAAGCCTAGAGGTTATTTTTGTGGGTGTTATTTAAATGTCTTTGTTAAGAAAACTTTTTCAAGAAAATTTTATATTAGAAAAGACACTACTAAATTTTTTTGAACTAGGAAATTAATTTGGAAGGTCATATGAATATAATAATGATAGCAGTTATTCATTTCTCTTGACTTGGAATTATATTGGATAAATGTAGGGGAGTTTTCTAAGGGTGAAAAGTTAGAAGATTAATTATCAAGAGGAATGTAACTAGTTTTAGCTTAAATCATCATGACTTTATAAGTCAGCTTTGTGTACCAGATTTCATGTTTAGTAATGAAAATTAAAATTAGTTAAGTTTTTATAGGAACTGCTCCTTTTTAGTCTAATGATTGATACATTCATTTCTCCGATCTTGAATTTCCTAGGTATTGCCATCACATTTGCTACCCAAGATAATCTTCCACTATTGTAAAAGTCATAAGTGTTTCAGTTTTTTAATTCTGGGAAATATGAATATTAAATTTTTAGTATTTAAATGTCACCTGTGTTGATCTATGACCATGTAGATTAAAGGCATTTGTTGATGATTCTTCAAAATCACTTTGTATATAGACCCACGGGAAATACCTGAAAACTCAGGAAAACTGTCAGTAAAAGCTAAAGGTTTTTAAATGTAGTATAAATAATTATAGCTATATCAAATAACTCCAATAAAACTAAGCATTAAGTGTATCTGAAACAACAACCTTCAATGGATAACTTAGATACTTACATTCAAATATCACAACTTGCTTAACTTCAGACTCCTAAACAAGGAAATAAAAATGTCCTAAGTGGACTGGAGTCCACTCAGGGGTCAAGAGCACAGCTGATCCTGCAAAAGGACCTCAGTTTGGTGCTTAGCACCTATGTGGCAGTTTACAGCCATCCGAAATTCCAGCTCTGGGGATCCAGCGCCATCTTCTGGCCGTCTCAGGTACTTACTGCATGTGGTACACTAGCATACATGCAGGCAAGGCACTCATACGCATAAAAAGAAAAATCTTTTTTTAAAAGTTCTAATGAATTTTGAAAAAAAATCTTCACTGTTTTAGCTTAAAATGTGAACCACACTAAATTCACCCAATAAGACTAATGAGATTGTACATTTGTTAACACAAATACAGCTACATTTTCAAAGTAATTACCGTGTATGGTATTCTATCTGCATGTATGGTCTATGCACCACTTTCATGCCTGGTGCCTATGGAGACCAGAAGAGCATGTCAGATCCTCTGGAACTTTCGTACGGATGGCTGTGAACCACTGTGTGGGTGCTGAGAGTCAGGATCCTCTGGAAGAGCAGCCCGTGCTCTTGATGGTGGAGCCTTCTCTGCAGCACTCCAACACAGCTCTATTTTCTGTGTTTTTTTTTTTTTTTTTTTTTTTTTTTTTTTTTGATTTTTTGAGACAGGGTTTCTCTGTAGTTTTTGGTGCCTGTCCTGGAACTAACTCTTGTAGACCAGGCTGGCCTTGAACTCACAGAGATCCGCCTGCCTCTGCCTCCCGAGTGCTGGGATTAAAGGCGTGCGCCACCACCGCCCGGCCCTATTTTCTGTGTTTTTAAAACACTTTCTATGTAATCAAACATTACACCTGCGGTCATATAAGAGGTTTGAATGATATAAAAAAAACTTGATAATAGCAACTATATTATATCTTGATGGTGACAATGTATGTACCATTTCAAATGGAAAATAAATTACTTGGTTTAATTAGCTGTGGTAATTTAAGAGTTACATGATTATTTTAAGGAGGTTGTTGTTAGGTTATAAAGCAGTGTCTTACTGGAAATATATCACATCCTTTGGGCTCCTGGAGGTGCTCTACGTGTGTGTAACAGTGAGGGATGGTATGCCTGTAAATTTAGCATCAGACGTTCTTGGATCCCCAGCTATTATTGGTCAGTTCAGTGTCTGTAGTCATCTTCTTTGAACATCACCTTGTCTTCACTCTGGCTTTGGAAAGAAACCCCTAAGTTTCAAATGGGAGCAGACTTTAAGCCCTATAAACTTCGCGAGAGTAGTTTTAGACCCTCCAGCAGCTACTCAGGCACAGTCGGCAGTGCGTGTCCTCTGAGACCCAAGTCCCTGAGGTTCTGCTCTGGATCAGGACG